GACTTCGAACTAAACGTATACTAAAACTTTACAATTACTGTGATCGATCTTATCACCAATAACACAGAAACCGGATAGAAAACGTATAGTTCATTCCATTTATGAATTGTGATAGTGTCAACTATTTACAAATCTCCTACTCAAATGTTCTTTGACTGTGTCAGTATGAAGTATTCCAGAATGCCAAATAAATTGACAACTTGAATCTATGTTGTCCCATTTCCACAGATTGAAATGTCGACTGACAAATAAATAGCTTCACCATTTTTCATTATACAACGTTGTTGTTTGCATGTATGGGTGTACTCAGGTGTGTTGGATTAGTCAAAAGTACCGATTTGAGTTTACATCAAACTTTACAATTTAAACAAATAATTGAGGAGATCAAATTAGCACAAACACTTTAACTGACCAACTAATTACTATCGACTACTAATGTTTTTCCATTTCTAGGTGATTTCATATTAGATTTATTGTTTGTCAGTATCTATGATGTAACGGGATTGTGTGTTGTGTACTTTATTAAGCTAACTGAGTACAATTCAATCAACACTAAGTATACATAAACTGTATTGAGCTCTAAGGATTTTAATGCAATATTATTAGCATTTTTGTCAGTTCAACAGTTGGTTAAGTACATAACTGTAAATTCAAAACTCTAATCTTCTTTTGGCATTCGTTAGTTGGCATTAATCTGTAAGGTTATCTTTAACATGTGCCAACTGATTTGGATTAGCCCTAACGTGTTAAGAGGTATTTAAAAAAGGATTATCTAAGCTCAAACATTCAGGATATACGTTTTTCAAACTAATCCGAAAACGTTAGTAACCTAGTGAAATATAAACTCATTTATATCAGTGATTTAAATGAAAAACCTTTTGAATAGAATCAAAGTTATTTTCTTATTTTAAATTTTTTTTTAAATGTAGAAAGAAATGGTGAGATTATTTTAAAGCAGTTATCTGTGTATGCTAAAAGAATTATCATAAGTACAATCATTTGCAATTATATCAATGCATTTCATCAATTGACGGAGTTCAATAAGCATTAAAAGTACTTGATAAACGAAACATTGATCACTACTTTGTGACCGAGTACATGTTAAGAATATCAGCCCTATACGACATCCATTGTATGCTGAAAATGTCAGTACTAATATCTCATTCTGTTGCACTTTGTAGTGCAGGTTCAAATGCCACAAAATACATCAGTTACAATAATATTACAGGAATACGTTGTTGATTAATTTGAGCCATCACGAAACCTAGGTAAATACAATACACTTCATTTAAATAAGTAGCTCAATGTAAAGGAATTACCGGTCAAGAGCTTTCCTAGTTGTGCCACTGCATACTTATTACCCATGTCATTTTGTTAAGGGTCAATCGACTCCCTTACCTGGAAAATAAAGCTTTATCTTTAATTGACTAGTAGTAATATCTTGTTTCTATCTCCTCATAAAGTATTCAGAATATTTTTTTTATTTTTTTTTACCAGAACGTCATCAAAGGGCAGAAAACATCGGGAGTTTACGACTTATAACTAATATGAGATAGCTGGTTAGCTTTCATTACTCTCCAGATTGAGGAAAACGTTAATCATGAAATTCCCAGTAATAATATTATGCAGTCTCACTATATTATGAATTTGCTAAAGTTGAAACTTTTATACAATTAAGGTTAATTCTAATAAATGATTAATGTATTTAGCTTTACAATTTACAATATTATACGCTATCTGTGTTTCTAAGACCGAGTCAGAAATGAACACTATCAAAAATTCCTCAAGCCAAGAGGAAACATCTTCCCGAAACTAAGTGATTCTAAATGGATTTGCAATAGATCTTTGTAATTAGTTTGCTCACTATAGTCAGACCGGTTTAAAGTTAGGTAGAGTGAAACAAAGATTGGGTATAAATTTTTTGTGCTGATTACCACTTTCTTTTTTATGTAAATGTGACTACTTAGTAAATATTGTGGTGTGGTCTACTTATATCCATATAAGTAGTATATGGTGTGGGTCAGACATAGAATGTATTTGGCAGAAGACCGGTGAGGAAAGAACTGAAATGAAACGCAATCGTTTGTAAAATGCATGAGCAGTGGAATTAGAGAAGAAACAGTGAAGATTGAAACAAATGGTTGTTAATTTGCAAATTGACTGTTCATTGTATGGTTTTCAGCATTTACTGAGATAGTCTGTAATTTTGCTTCAATACATTCGATTGTCCCCAACCAGTGTTTTGTTCATTACAATATAAATCATTCAAACACATATGCAAAAATTCTATTGTTCAATTGATCATTATAAGGTGTAAACAGTGGTTGGGAAGGATGTTTGTTAACTGTTGTCATAAGAAACATTTATAATTCAAAGTGAATTTTTATGAAATTCATGAATACAACTGATCCGAAACGTTCACACGTTCATTCGTGACTCAAACGTGTAACGTATAACTATGACAATGTTAATCTGTTGATTAAAGTCAATCGTTGCACAATTTCATTCTGCTTTAGTGCTAAGAAACTTTTTCACCGTCTTTGAGTGTCAAAACACACACACGAACAAAAGCATTGTGTTAACTATTGTCAAATATCAGTCAGTTAGTTATGAGGTCAACTGACATCACAATCGCATGAACAAATGCAGATGAAAACAACTGGCGTAGCAGACGCCCAGAAAGCAATAGACCTCAACACACAAAGAAAAAAGCGTGATCCTAAAATATAACACACAGAACACCAACTCAGTCACATTTGATGGACAAAATCTGGAAGATGTAGAATCATTCACGTATCTGGGTAGAATCATCAATGAACGTGGAGTATCTGATACTGACGTAAAAACGAGGATTGACAAAGCAAGGACAACATTCCTACTATTGAAGATCATATGGAACTTCAAAGAAATGTTAATCAGCATCAAATTCACAATCTTCACTATGAACGTCAAAACAGTTCTACTGTACGAAGCTGAAACTTCGAGAACTCAAACAACCATCATCAAATATGTACAAGTATTTATAAATAATTTTGTACACAAGGCACTCGGTGTCCATTGGCTGGACACCATCAGCAACAACCTACTGTGAGAGAAAACAAAACAACTTCAAATTGACGAAGAAATTAGGAAAAGACGATGGAAGTACATGGGACATACATTGTGGAGGTCATCAAACTATATCATGAGGCGAGCGCTAACTTGTAATCCTGAAGGTAAACAATAGAGAGGAAGGTCAAAGAACACACTTTGTTTCGAGAATGGGGAGCAGACATGAAAATGATGAATGGTAACTGAGAAGAACTGGGGAGGATTGTACATGACAGAGTTGGATTGAGAATGCTGGTAGAAGATCTATGTTCCTTCATGAGGGGTGATGATGAAATGACCAAAACAAATGGTATAGTAGTTGAAGCGGTGAAAACTCTAAACATATATAACATACTTCAAGAATAAAAGGATCTATACGCAAAATAAAATTGTATAATCTAATTTTAGAACTCAAGTATAAAGAAAAATAAAGAATGAATGCACCTGCATCATCGTGACATGCTCTAAGCCATATCACTTAACGTCTTCAATCACTAATTTCAATAATGTCAAGCACTTCAACCTACTAGTCTGTGCATAGGGACAAAGCTCAATTCATTAATAATAACTCCATAAACTAACCACCCAAAATGCACACCAGGATCAACTTTAATCGATTGGATAATAATAATAATAATAATAATATAGTATTTATTACCTAGTCTCACGTTTATTTGGTACTTGATTGAAAAGATAAGTGTTTTCTATATTTACATTTAAACATTTAGTAAACTGAGGGTTTTGAGATGGTTTATCATCAGTTAAAGCTATTGACTTTAAATCTTTGTTTTAATTTTGATTTGGTTATTTATTGTCTGAAGAAGCGGCTTAAACTGAGTCACGAAACGTCAGAAAATCTAACTATTCTACTCATTGGAATATTATAAATATATTATTTATTTATTTATAACATTCTAACCAATACTCAATTTATTCGAAATTATCAAGTCAAACCTTGGCATTGATATCTATTTTGAATTGTCGGTTCATGTCCTACATATCCTACCTCATGTATAGCAATTGAGTAATTTTATTGAACCGTGCACAAAATAGGGTACATATGAAACCCAATTTATAGAGGTGTGATTAGTTACTGGAAGCTTTCTACTTAAAACCAGTAAAATTGATAAGAAGAAGTGAAATGATAGAATTTGTTATCTAATGACAAAGAATTGTTGAAAATTATCTTCGTTAATCAATTGTATTCATAGGTAGACAACATAAAATTTAATTTTCTAGTTTTTATCCACATTTTATCAAATAAACTACTGAAAATATGTTCAGTATTTTAGGTAAAGATGGATGGTGGCTAACAGTGGAATCGAGGGCGTGCGTTTCGTTCTACTTGGGACTCGTCAACCGGATTTACCAGATCCTCAAAGTTCATGTGCTTGTGCAATAAGGAAGAAACTTGCGTCCTGGATTTCGCTGCTAGCCACTATCCATCTTTGCTTACCATGATTGTTAATTAAGGCTATATTGAGGCAATACGCACAGTATGTACATATGCCAATTAGAGACTAACTAGTTGCAGTCCTAAACATCAATGGAAAGATTCAAACAAACAATACTTAGTGAATTCATCTTAATAGAAGATTATTCGTTCAACAAATGTACATAAGACTATTGTTAAGTTATTAATTGGTCAAAAGTAATAAGAAAACACAAATATTAAGCATCATTATTATAATTTCATGACTACTTTCATGAATTCATATCATAAAATATATAAAAAAGATGATCTATCTCTATTTACAAATATCATGAGTGTACATAAATTAATTTTAAGAAACTATTGTTTAAGTCAAATCGATTATTTGCATAACCTTATTTCATTTGAAATTTAACTTGTCAACAATTGTAATAAGTCTAAATGATTTCATATAATACGCTTTTATTATAAATTGTTGGTTTTTTTTAACAACAAAAATCAACATTTCTTACATGTCAACCAGTGTAGAATTAGGTTTGAATAAAGATTAAAGAGATTAAACCAAAATATTATCACAGTCTATAAAGTCATTGACTGTTGATCCGATACATTCTGGTAAATCTAGACTCCCTGGTTGAAGTCTGCTCAATAACCATGATTACTGGTTGTAGACGTTGAATAACAAGCTACTAGTTTGTATAGTTGTGATGAATTTTATTTCATTTTTACAAGTAATAGTTTGAGCCTTCCCGTAGTTGATATTAGAGGCATATGATAAGTAATGTCTAAACCGATGTAGTTTTGACTCTGTATAACCTCTAGTAAAACGTTCGATAATTTTCCTTATGCTAAAGGTAAATCCAAACACAATGGTTGGGGTCAGTGAGGTTCTAATCATAAGGTCTATAATCGTGTATTTCACAAAACCTTCGTACTATTAACACTATTGACCTATGCAGCCCAAAGATGTATTTTAAAAAAACGTTTGTACATTAAAATTAAAAATGTATCAAGTAAATAATTTGTTAGAGGACTAGAAAGTAGTTACTAATCAACTAAGAAATTTGCCCCTGACAAACTAGAGTTGTAATTCTACCGTTTAACAATGAAACTATTCAATTGGTCGAACATGAACAACCGAAAATCTTGTACAAGAATTGTGCAATCAAGTTATCAAACACAAAAACATTTTCAACAATTTAGGTAAGTTCTGCTATCATTAAATGGTAGATCAATACATTCGACTTAAGTAGCAACAACTCAAAATCTAAAGAATCAACCTTTCAGATTCCAAAAACGGCGGTCATTTAAAAAATAATTAACACAGTCTGTAGGAAATCCATGAAAAGGGTGATACACTGAAAAAAACTGAAATTGTAACTAAATTTATAAATAAAAATTAAGTCTACAGTCAAAATATTTGGACGGAATGAGCGAATGAATGTAACAAAAATGGTAATTCTATATTTAATGGTCAGAAAAAAATGTTATTATTACACGAAATGTAAAAATGGATGTATTTCATACAAAAATATACAAAGCGACCTTACAATATGTACATCATGGGTGAATTACCTCGAAATAGTCATTTGGTCACATATTCTTTAGGTAAATTCGGATAAACGCATTTCATATTAGTTAGGAAGTTGTGAATAAACTTCATATCTGTACTACAAACTAGTACTTAATTGGTTTCAGTAGCCAGATCTATGAATAGAGAATTATGGCTTATAACAAAAACTATTGTGCTCTAGTCCCATTGTGAACATCAACAACTGGATAAGAATACATTTAGATAACGAGTCCCAAAAAAGGATGAAAAAGACATCATAGATTTCACCATTAGCTATTAACCAACTTTGATAAATTATATGAAGTTCAATAACAAATGACTAGGTTAGACAAAATATAAAAAACACTTGGTGAAAAATTTCCAAGAGGCATTATCGTCAGAGAAGAATAAAATAAATCATGTTTTATTTATTTTCTTCGTTCGAAGTGATGAGATCGACCACAGAAATTATAAAGATTTATTATACACACGCTTATATAAATGAATCAAATTTCTCGTTTTCTTTTCTAACTTGGTCATGGGAAATTTTTTCATTTAAATCACTGATATAAATGAGTTTATATTTCACTAGGTTACTAATGTTTTCGGATTAGTTTGAAAAACGTATATCCTGAATGTTTGAGCTTAGATAATCCTTTTTTAAATACCTCTTAACACGTTAGGGCTAATCCAAATCAGTTGGCACATGTTAAAGATAACCTTACAGATTAATGCCAACTAACGAATGCCAAAAGAAGATTAGAGTTTTGAATTTACAGTTATGTACTTAACCAACTGTTGAACTGACAAAAATGCTAATAATATTGCATTAAAATCCTTAGAGCTCAATACAGTTTATGTATACTTAGTGTTGATTGAATTGTACTCAGTTAGCTTAATAAAGTACACAACACACAATCCCGTTACATCATAGATACTGACAAACAATAAATCTAATATGAAATCACCTAGAAATGGAAAAACATTAGTAGTCGATAGTAATTAGTTGGTCAGTTAAAGTGTTTGTGCTAATTTGATCTCCTCAATTATTTGTTTAAATTGTAAAGTTTGATGTAAACTCAAATCGGTACTTTTGACTAATCCAACACACCTGAGTACACCCATACATGCAAACAACAACGTTGTATAATGAAAAATGGTGAAGCTATTTATTTGTCAGTCGACATTTCAATCTGTGGAAATGGGACAACATAGATTCAAGTTGTCAATTTGAGTAGGAGATTTGTAAATAGTTGACACTATCACAATTCATAAATGGAATGAACTATACGTTTTCTATCCGGTTTCTGTGTTATTGGTGATAAGATCGATCACAGTAATTGTAAAGTTTTAGTATACGTTTAGTTCGAAGTCTTCTGCACAATGTTAAATATCTATTTGTGACGCAATATTCTTTCCATCATTTTGAAATGTGTAGAGATTTTGTTATTGAATTCATAGTGCGGCTCAACGGTGAGTCTGTTAATTTCAATTTATACCACATTTCATCAACACTATGGTAAACTTCAAGCATACTCACTCTACAACAGATTCTATGATGGTAGGTAACTGAGAGTCGAAATGTCAAGCTGAAAGTAACCACACATTTCTCGACGGAATTATGTTTGTGAACATCCAATTCGAAAAGGATACGGAGGAAAATATACTGAGGAACAGGCTATTGAATTCTCTGAGGAAGACCTTCAATCGATTAGAGTTAGTCATCATTTACACCAATACGTACGTGTTTCATTCTACGAAGTAGGTGTAGAATGAATCTCCAATTTGGACCATCTCAGTGAACAACTATCAGTTTGTCTGATCTCCAGGCACAGGTTGTATTATTTGTTGCAATAGTTTGCTTGTTGAAAATCATGTCCATACATCACCACTCTGTTTAACAGTTTCAAATGTGATTTCAGTCTATCAACATTTCTATTCATGAATACATGGTCAACTGTAATCATATCTCATCACATGAATCAACATTCACGACTGCTTGCAAATTGTGAACAAGGAATGTTTTGATTAGAGATTTGTGAATGTCTGACACCATCACAATTCATCAGTTCAATTTCTTACTTTGTCATAATGTCTTTAGTTTTATAAATCATCAGTTACTGTTATTTTATTATTCGTCATGTATTTGTACATTTGTCATGTAGAGAATCATCTTTTCTGTTATGTCTTATGATCTATGAGATTATGATGTAACTTATATGTGTAATAACTGTGAGTATATTTGATAATTTGTAAATTACTTGATTAAATGAATCCATATTCATTCGTTTGATTATACTGTGTACTATTATTTGTAATAATTTTAATAACCGTAATCTTTGTAAATTATGTTGCTGAGAGGATTATTTTTTCTTGTGAACCTTCTTCAATAATTGTCACTTTATTTTTCTATAATGTAGGTCATTAAATATATTAAGGAGTAATCCATGATTAGCTGCCGTTTGAAATCATGCTTAAAAGACTTTGTACGGCAATTTTTTTTCAAGCGAATGATTTTTACTGCATAGATAATAAGTTTTCCGAATTACGGTATTAAACATTCTATATCTTACTTGATCACCTTATTTAAATAATACATGAAATACAAAATTGATGAATTCATTAGATTTCACAATAATTTGATGCATGTTTATGGTAATAGATACCTATGGCACCATAGTGAATTGATCCGCTTATCAAAGGATTATCATATTCACTCTAGAATACCAAAACGGCTAATCGCAAAGTTCATTTCTTGGAATACTTGATTTCAGTAGATTATTACTACGATCGATTAAAATTGCACTGTTTTGAAAGTATAGGTTAGATCTTATTGGAGTTCTGCTGAAAAGCCAAACAATTTATTAAGTAGCCTAATGAACAGATTATGTTGACTATCTCTTTAACACATGTTCTGAGAATAACTGATTTCCGGATAGTAAAAACTTTATGAATGAGTAAAGATAATTTCTAACCGAGCTACTATAACATCAACAAAATTATGAACACAAATAGACCGTATTTCTATCAAATACTGTTAAGAGCTTTTGATAAACAATATTATCCATTTTAGAAGAATAGACTTGGACACCGATCATACTCATGAAAGATCTATAAGATCTACAAGAACATTCATCTAGTTCTGAAGGAACAGTATCATGTGATTTGTGTGCCGAGTGTACAGAAGACTGCTTTTATTTACTAATAATTATCCAAAGGTATTCGAATAACAATGTCACTGAACGAAACTTTGGAGTTACTTACTTTTAATCGTTCAAGGTTTTATAAACGTAATTTACATTTTTATTACCAATAATAGTTTTAGAAAATAAATCTGAAGTCACTGATTTATCCAAACTAAATAAAGAACTTACAGCTGCAGCAATTGCTGTCCCATAACCTGATACTGTACATGCGCATACAATCATAGCGATTAAATGAAAACCTGAACATATTGCGATGCATATAAATTCCTAATAAGAGAAAAAAAGTAATAATTTAATGAAAACCAAAATTAATTTCAAAATCAGAAAAAAATATGTAAGCAAACAATACTGAATTCGATAATATCTTTATCAGGCTTCACACTTATATACAGTAGTATTTAGATGGATATATGAGCAAAGACACCTAAATATAGTGAGAGAAAACACTTTGATCGTTCGACTTTTCAAGGGTTAGTCTTCTAATAAGAGGCCCACTTTTTGAGTTAGAATAATCAGATGATTTAGTTTTGTTTGGTTGAGACTCTGACAAAATACAGAGTCTTTTAACCATCATCAGCAACAATGCAAGCATGTTTGGAAGACAGTTCTCTCTTTCCAATCGCGAAATGTTACCTTAGAATAGAGAATGAAGTAGCTGAACGTTTTGATGGCTTCACTTAACTAGGAAATCTCATCAGTCGTGATGGGGTGTGACAACTTAACCGATGTGCATATGTACCAGGTTCTATGTTGTGACTGACTAACCGACTGCATATATGAACCAATCCATACGGTCTCTTACATATAGCAGGGTTTATGTTTCGTCCCGACTGAGGCACGTCAAATGGACGTACCTGTTGTATTCCAGTGTTGAAACTCATACGGTGACTTGAACCCAGTATCTTTCACACCAAACACCCAACGATTTGTCCACTGAGCTACTGAGTTTAGATAGCCTCAAACTTCTTGGATAAGAAATCTAACTTATTTGTGGCATTTCATTATGACGAGCTTTTGTTATTTGAAATGACTACCTACTAAATTTTTTGAAGATAAACTTTTGATTGGCAGTGAAAATGCAAAATAATGAGTTAACACATCAGAATAGTCAGTTGTTGATCGGTTTTACGAGAGAATTGTACAAATGGATTTTGAATAAACTCAGCGGTAATCGATAGGTTGTATGAAGTGATATGGTGCAACCAAGTAATCGGTACTCACAAAATCAGATTACTGACGTGAGCCCCGACATAAACTGATATCAGAAGACAAAAATTCTGACATTCAGAGTAGGATTTTTCCCCTAATAAACTTGAGCACAAGAATAAGCATGACCTCCAGTCACTTAAATAAATAATTGGAGGGCGTGACAACGATAGATCATTTCACTCTCGTACACAATTAATTCTTAGCTGTTAGACGTAATGCTTGTCTTGTTATACAGTTTAGTGGTTGAAATGCCTAATACAAGGGCCTATCTGTGTCAGAAATGTGTATTGCTCTCTTACATTGAATTATATTTCCAAGAATCTGGAGAAATGGCATTTTACATATATTCGAACTTATTTGATTCAACATTATAATGGAAAATGTTGCCGTTGATTTAAAATAACATGAATAAAGTGAGTTCAAATTTGATAATCAACCAGTCTGTCATACGCTACGTTTAACCTGACACATATGTAAGTTGTTTAAGCTTCCACATTCAATTACCGAGATGGCATTGTCAAAGCAAATCCCAGAGTAGAAGAGGTGGTAATAGTATTAATAGTAGTAAAAAATACATGACATCGAAGGTAATATTCAGAAAAACATGGGTTAGTGGAATACAAAAGTATTTATACGTTAATTGAGGAACTTAAAATCTAAGAGAAGACAAAACGTGAATGTACCTGGGTTCATTCATGTCGAAAAGTTGTTTCAATGAATCCAGTTTAGTCATCAATATGAACAAATTAGTGTAGCTGATTTTATAATTCTAAAGTCTTATCTACTTCATTAAGGACTCATTTGATATAATGACACAAAAAGGATGATCCTTAAAAACAAACAGAGTATAATTGTTTTAAGGATTATCTGAGCACCTGATTTCCGCTTGGAAGTAAACAGAAAAAGTTACTTAACGCATTCTGCCAAATGCTGTCAACTGTTATCGCATGATAAGTTTTGCAGAGTAATGAAATAGAATTTGTTATCAATAAAAGTTGGTGAGTACAGTAATCTGTAGGATAAAACCGACTACTGGTCAATATAGCCATTTTTGTAATAATACAAAATACAATTTAAACTTTGCACGAAGGCTATTGAAATGCATTGAGGACTATGGAGTTGTCATTATTTATTGAGTGAATTCAGCTTGATCACCAAGAGGAACTGAATAATTTTGCCCCAGTATTCTTACAAGACCCTATCAAAAATTGAAATTTTGGCCTTAAAGTCTCAGGTTGTACATGTTCTCTTCAAACTATCGACCTAATACCCGAAAGCACATATTCTTAACTACAATTAATTTCCAAAGCTCTTCGACCACTAACTGTGACAGTCGGTGATTTATGCCTCATGCCTGACGTGAGTGAAATCCACTTGTCATAACTCTGGTACAACTTTTCAAAGTTATTCATCAGAAATGCCTAATAATAATCAAATGCAAATAATGTAAACTACGCCTGTAGCTCTTCTAGGGCTACTGACAGTCCAAAGGTAAGGTGGACGAGTAGGGTTGGGAATGGATTCAGTAAACCCAGCTCAAAGAAAACAACCATGCTGAAAAAATGCCAACCAGAATATACATTTGAAATAATTTAAACTCTGCTCTGGGGTTTGAAAGAAGAATTATGGCGCCTCGTGATGAAAGCCGAGATTCTTCGAAAATCATAAATCTGATTCCCCATCCAACAACCAGAACGACAATTTATATAAGTATATGGAACTTCCGAATAATATAAGAGACCGGAAGGATCAATCAAATAGCAACGAAGATCGGGAGATACAACTTGGCAGTTCTCGGAATCAACGAAACACATTGGACATCAATTAACATCATGTTGTCTAGTACGTAACGCTCAATGATTTACATCAGTACATTAATGAAATTTAATTTCAAGAATACTAAACGCTAATCTGATTTAATCTAATTAGAACTACAACATTCAAAGAATGTATTATCACAATAAGCTACTTATTTTCTGTTCAACAGTCACATTCAAACATTTCTTTTAATTATTGATTCTTAAAATGTCACTCATCATGAAAGTTAAACCTAAATTCCTTTCGTGTTTTTCACCCACCTCCTACCACCCATGTATGACATAATAACAAGGGTTTATAACAACTTATTTCTCTCCTGCATTCCTCACTATCTTACGAGTGAACGTTTTTCTTTCTCGGTTACCTAGGCAACTCAAACTCAACTTATTCATGACTTTTATTACTATCACAACAGTACATACTAATTTACATAGGACTTAGAATTCATGCATATACAAACATATACACTCATATGCTTGTAAAGAAAAATGGTATTTTTCATTTGCATGATTGTCTTATTACAAATAGTTTGGTTATTTTCTATTGTGTGATAAAATAATTCTTTTTTTCTTTTTTAAAACACACATGACTTGTTCTTTCTCTGTTATCTAGTTTTTATGATCACTGGTTATAGACGAGTGAATGAATTGGACTTTCTTTTGTCATGTTTTTTATTAGAGAATAAAAAAAGAATTTTTCCTGTATATATTACACTCCAAACAACATTCCATTTGATCTATAAGTCAATCTACTCAGGCTACATATATGTCAACAAAAAACAGATCAGAATTTAGATAAGAATATCAACACGGGAATAATTTAACCCTCAATTATAACGATTTAAATATCCTACCCATTGAACAATTTAGTGACTATTTGGACTCACTAACTGAGTGGACAATATATTGAGCGTATGAAGCACAATGTACTGCACTCGAATCACAATATGAACATCAACAATGGAATATTGCAGATATATTCAGCTAACAAGTTCAGTTTAGGAAGAAACAAGTGTCCTGAATTACACTGCTAGTCATAATCCATCTACTATAAATATGTACTTAAGGTTTCTTTCTTGTTTCTAAAAATTTGATATCTCGTCAATGAGTCGCATATGTATCTTACACAAAACATTTCCAATAACTAATCACAACATGATTTAAAGATGAGGATTTTCTTCATTCAACCATAAGATAATGTTGAATAATATGAAAGATGAACAACAAGTGAAAGTGATCAATGGTACTCATAGTATTTCTGTTTGTGTTGTTTTAATGAACAAAACATATTATTATTTCCTTAATCTTTATGAATTACTGCAGCTAAAGTTTAATTTGAAGTTAAGATTTTTTTATCCGAAAGTGCTAATAATGAAGAAATTGTACTCTGATTCACTATATGACTGTTAGTAAACAAATTAACTAATGATCATTTATGATTTTAAAAAATAGTTGGGTGCTGTTCACTTAATATTGTTCGTTTGAATCTTCCCATTGATATTTTTAGGACTGCAACTGGTCAGTCTCTAATAGGTATATGTGCTTACTGTGTGTATTGCCTCGATAAAGCCTTAATTCACAAGCATGGTAAGCAAAGATGGATAGTGGTTAGCAGTGGAATCCAAGACGCGCGTTTCGTCCTATTTGGGACTCGTCAGCTGGATGTACCTGCGTCTCAGAGTTGATGCTCACCCGGGACTCGAACCCAGTACCTTTTGCTTCAAAAGCAATCGCGTTATCCACTCGGCCACTGAGTCCTGATAGCCACTTGTTTGTGCAATGGGGTGAAGTTGGGTGCTGTAGTTATCGACAAAAATCGGTAAAAATTCATTTTTATTTTCACCGATCTTATCATGTAAATTGTTGAAATAAGTAAAATTTATTTTCGATGTGGGAAGAAGAGATTTAATTGTGTGAGTTAATAGAAGTTTCTTCTGGTCTAGAAACAGTACTTACTTAAATAATAATAATAATATTGAAATCTGTCTTCAAAAGTGACAGTAGTCCAGCAAAATATCGTACTAAATTCGTCAACGAAATCAAGTTTTTATTACTAGTTTTCACTACCAATGACCTGTTTTATGCGTTATTGGGTTCAATATCTTTTTTTATATCAGAGACATTGTTCTATGTCATACGCATTAATCATATAAATCTAAAGAATATCATAAATACCGATCATTAAATTTTACGAAGCATTATAACGTGGTTGATTTATTTTTGCAATAACTATCCTGAGTT